GTGGCGCATTCAGTAACTGCACGTCCACGAGCATGACCTTATACTTTGCGGGTGCAAAGTGCATACGAGATAAAAAATAACTTTTCCTTTTAGAAGACGAGAACGATATCCATTGCAAATTCCAGATCAACGAGTTTTACGTCAGAGTCAATTTGAATACCGGGGTTTTGAAGGCCTTCTAATGTTAGTCCCGCGATTTCATCAATCACGAAGTTAAGTTGGAATGGAAAGAGTAGGTATTCCTTTCGGACACCGGCTTCTAAACTGAAGCTTTCGTAGGTCTTCCCGTATGCTCACACACGTCCGGAAGTCAGGGACTACGAAGGATTTTTGTGTTCTCGAACCTCATGTGCATTCTTCGATGAGAGAGCGTGTCAAGGATAACAGAGCGGTCAACCGATTCATGTGCGACTTGCAAATTCGAAAACACCAGCATTATGGGTCGTCTGTACGTACGGCGTTGTTTTAGCATCTGACCAAATGTGAAGATTTCGTCATCGCAAACCCCACCAGGCGGGAATCCAACTTGCTGCTCTCGAGTCAGTGTGTCACGAGCACCATAGGGCGGTGAAGCACAACTGACGCCATGACAACCGGAGTTAAGTGGTTCCCCCGTGGTAACCATACCCATTACAGTCCCCATTTTTGTAAATGGGCAAAATCACCGATTCTCCAAATCTGGCTGGAACAGTTATCTTGACCAGAATACATGGAAACAGGTTGTACAGGATCCCACGTTCATCGTTTAGAGTTCTACGTCAAGTATGGGCTCCAAACATATGCCAAACGTTGGCGCCGATACCGGTCGTTGGAAATATTTGACCCAACCGTCAAGGCGTTATTCTTTATGCAAGATGACCACTTCTTTCCGAACCTTGATGGCTTAACTCACAGGTGTTTTCCGGAAACCAGTTTTACGGATTGAATGAAATAATCTTTGGGCTTTCCGAGCTTTATGAGCCTCTTCTACCACCTTGGCTTTCGGCGTCCACCAGATTTCACTGCTTGCGTGCGTCTGGTGGTATCGTACCTTAGGCGAAATTCCGATCAATATGCAAAGAGGTGGCAATCTCGTCTCAGAATTAGCTCGCACCTGATGGAGGCGCATTTATGAGAGACTCTAGATGACGGTTCTGATAAATCCGAATAAAACCTGGATCTGCCATTCTCTCAGATTCCAAACCATTTGTCCGCAACTTATGCGGCCCTTGAAAGCAAAGCAAAAAGTGAATCCAGACGAGCGAATCCAGAAATGTGTTTCAAGACAACCAGTAGTCAATTATTAATCCGTGCAATCGTTAACTCATGGCAACGTAATCGATTTTAGTCCTTGGCCGAGGAGGATACCACGTGACCAGCCGACTTCGGCTATATCGGATGATGTACTGCATAAAACCAACCTGCGGTCCGCACGCAGCTAATACAGTCGTGGTCCAAACGTTCTGAGTACAGTCCATGTCTACTAACTAATTAGATCTCAAATGCGCTAAGCCTCCACACAGAGACAATACTCAGCGGGCATCCAATCAACTAACAATTATTCTACCTCAATGGCAACTCTGCACATCATGCCGCAGCAGACTCAGGATCGCCAGATATACGCAGCCAGAAGCGAGCAGATACTGATGGGGCGGTTAGTTAGATCACTGCGCTTGCACTTTGTATTCTCGTTTCTAAGACACAGCACACATCAATGCCAAGCGAGTCCAGTGCGAGTGCAAGAGCAGCTTGTTACCCTGCTTGCTTCAGAGTGCGGACATTGAACGCGGCCAGATAGACTGGGAATCGGGGCTCGAAGGCTTGTTTTCAGGTACCTGAGGATGTCGGCGCCATGTGACGGACAGATTTTGCACGCGAAGCGGATGCGTGACGAACGGGACGAGCAGAGCTGCAGGACCGAACGAATCATTAGTCCTTAGTCCTGGGTTACCAGTGGAGAGTTATCGATGGGGTGGTGGGTGGAGGAAGAAAAGTATGTGAAAGAGAAAGATTGGGCTAACTTGAGCAGGGTTATTAATGGAGTGGGGAAGGGCCTCAGTGGTAGCCTGTTTTGATCACCCGCCCTGCCGTATGCCACAATTAAGGCGACCCTCAACTGTAGCCTGTTTTCGCTAACCCGCCCTGATGTATGTAGCAAGTAAGGCGACCCGGGTGAGGGCACCACGAGATGGCCGGTGTGACATGAGTTCATTTGTATCTGTGCAGTTCATAATCGTACGTGGCCTTGGACACCGTCATGGTGGCTTCATCTAGATACCAGGACAAATATGGTCCTCAAGCAAAGCCTTTGCTCGCTTGTACCAAAGATAAACTTAGACCATGAAAATGGTCCTTTCTGGCCCAGATTAATGTAACGGATTCGTTAGCTTCATCCGATTGCGTCCTTCCAGAATACTTTGCTAATAATGAACGGGATTTTCTTTTCAAATACTCATTTCCTGAGGCTTCCGATTCTCACGGCATACTGGTATGGAAGAAGTACTGGACGATGTTGACGATGACAACATGATGCCAGTCTCCAAGGAGCAACATGAATCCCTCTCAACGTGGTACCGAAATGCACACCATCTGTTGCGCATCAGAAGTGTATACTATATACACTGAGTGTCCGCATTGATATCTTAGACTCAACCTTGAAAATAAAGTGTTGTAGCCAAGTAGAGAACATTGCTAACAGCCTCTGTGTGAATGTTGACTAATCGTTTTCAACCAAATTTCCAAACTAGGGGATAAAGCCACCTGGCTACCTGGTTCCCAGCCGACTGAAAAACCGACTCGCTAAAAAGCGTACGCTAAAATTGTCCATGGAATCACTTCACCTTTCAAAACAAAGTCCATAAGACAACGGGCATACTTCCTGTGCACTTCCGGATGCTTGAAACCAGACGTTCTCCAACGCAAATTAGGCTACAACCCGCTAGAATCAACACGAGATAAATGGATAAACCCACAGTGAAACCTCCACGTCACCGTATCGAATTGCACCAGAGAATCACTGTCGGAATAAATGCAACAATGTCATCAGTTCCACGGCCAGGAAGAAAAAATTCCAAATTTCGAAATCAAATTTTGGAAGTTGCCAAGCAGTGAAACGGATGGAAAAGCAATACGAACCATAGTGTGCTGACCGAGAAATTTCCTAGTGACCTATTGTTGAAGGAGACCGTTCTTATTACAAAGTAGGGATTACTTTGTAAGTCCGGGGACAGAAGTGACCTCCGTCAAACCTGTCAAGAAATTTCACCAACAGTTCCAGTTAACTGACATGCCACCGAATCGCAACTGGCGGCAGAGCAAAATAGACAATCGGGGTGAAGCCCCACCGTTTTGCATGACGCCATTTAAAGAACGAACAAATCGCAATTTACCTGGAAAGTACAAAGTCACCAAATAGCACTCAAATAGCAATCGTATAAAACACAAGTGGTATATTATAAAATGAGAGACGTATATTCCTAGTTTTTTTTGGAAAGTTTCAAAACTAAAGCAGAGAATCAACATCGCTGTGGATAATCGGGACAAAATCTCATCAATAGTTCACAGTACTCAAGCAAAAACGCGCAAGACCTTCTTTGATAAACTGAAAAATATAAAAATGAAGGAAATGTAGAATGTTTTTGCTTTGTGTGAACGCATTATCCACATCTGCAAGTGTCAATTTGTCATGACCTGGACCACTGACCAGCTGTTCACTTCAAAATGAAGCCCTGGTGAAGAGAGTTATCTTCAGATTGCTCAACCTGTGAACATCAAGACGAGTTGCCGACAAAACCTTATTAGACTTGAGGGATCCTTTCCCCGAATTAATACGCAAAAAACTGCCCCATATAAGCTCAAGTTAGAGGTCAATATTTTCGGTGTCCATAAAACAAACAGGCTTACAAGTGAATGTTCTTTTCTTGTAGCCCACTTCTCAAGGGCGAAGGATGACACATTATGCTTTAGGTACCCTCGTCACTGCACTGCAACTACGAAGAAGGTCTACAGGTAAGCCGCAATCGAAGTCTTGAACTATCAGCCCGACCGTCAGTACTACGATGTGGAGAGCTGTGTCGAGTTGATCTGCCGTCAAACTGAAACACGCTACAACACAATGGAATCCAAGATAAACTGAGCATCCATATATCTTGATTACTTGGTCGGCAATGAAATCCATCGGATACGAGGAGAGCGCTCAACAATGAATTCGTCAATCCACCGTTCCATCAATCACGTACAACAGAACGTTGAACACATTTTTGAACAAAGACAGAGGTTCCGCGGACGAGTTGCGAACTGGGATAAAAAGGTAGTTCTTCCAGCAAACATGGGTCGTCATGGACAAAACCGAATACGTCATTGAAGCATGGACGCTACTCAACGAGACAACTCGGTATTCTCGTCTAAAGCTGAATGAAGCTAGGACGCTTGCAAACAAAAACTACGAGAATCTAAGGAAATTCTGAGATATCTACAGGGTTAAAAATGGATATTGATGAACAAGAGCTCGAGACCTCTACTATGAAAACACACCCCGACATGAGAGGACACGATGGAAGGTGTGGAAAAAATTATGAATGTGACAGATATTGTGGTTACTGACCTATTTGTTCTTGATTTCATATTGACTTCTGGCGCATGAACAATCGAACGAAATTGCATTAATGCACTCCAGAATACTTCCACTACTCTTATGTGAGGTTTCCGATGGAGATGTTCTGCATTCAAACATCTCCACCAATCAGATTAGTGTATTTTTTATGGAGGCAACCACGTCAGTAGTAGTCAGTGGAAAACTTTGGTTAATAGTCTGCCTCGTGAATGTTCTTTTTTGAATAGGTCATTGAGCCGTGGATGAAATTGCATATATTAGACGACACTTCAAAATGCTTGAACAAGCTGATCTTCGGAGTTATTTTCCGGGTGATTTTCAATCTTGAAGTTTCCACTAGCCTTGCAGCCGTTTACAACAATATAAGAATAAAGCTCAGGGAAAATGAACCTACGAAGTGAGCCTATCTATGGTTATAGGCCAGGCGACCTATCCCGAAGGAAGTGACACGCCTAAAGGTCTGCAGGACGAACTGCCAGAGTCGAAAGAATACGACGTTGATGGTTATGCCAACGGTCTGAATCGCGATACCCTTCCGTACTACGCTTCAGTAGATGTGTATCAAAGAGCAGTTGAACGGATATACACAGAATGTGATCAGATATCCTAGTGAGGATAGCCTTGAGTCACGCAAAAAGCCAACGAGCGGCAGCTGCTCACAACGAACGAATCAATACTGTTTGTGAGGTGGATCTGAATCCTGCATATGGTTTGCCTGTCTGAGTATTAAAAAAGCTGGCAGTTACTATCATGACCGAATAGTCACACCCTCAGAGTGTACCCTCAGGATGCTTGAAATACGTTTGCGTCTATCCAGGTTGGCGTACTGGTAAAAGGAAGGATGTCTTCGCTGCAAAACACAATGATTTGCAGACGATTTTTTTTCAACGAGAGGCTCAACTAAAACCCAGCTGAATCTATTGTTTATGGTGTTTCCAAGCCATTTAAGCGGTGCTTCGATACTTGAATCTACTACATGCTGAAAATAATCGAGAATCCCCTTACGAATGTTTCCTCAGCGGCGGAATACATCTCACAGAACTTGATGCAGTTTTGAACCCATGACCTCCAGGCTACAAGTTTCAAAACTTAGCGGTTCAGCCACGGTAAGCGATCAGTGAAATGACCATGGCGCATGTGGACAAGCTTTCGTATTCCGTCCCCACAAAATGCGAAAGAGATAAGTTGCACAAATAACATGAGAAGGGCAGTCGGTGCCAAATAGTGCACCGGGTTATGATCCGCTTCTTTAAAAGAGTCATATTTCAACAGTTTGATAGGAGCGACCTAATCAGGGTAAGTATATCCAAGCTTTCAAGATGGAAGCATGGTCAAATTATACACTATTTGGTTTGCCAGTAGAAGCGTCCGTAGCTGAGTAGATTTGCGGAATTTCGATTGTCTTCGGAGCAAGTGGCAAACGCGCCAAGTTACAATAAATGAGAGCGGGAAGACAGCTACCATAGAACATGCCCCAATCGACATTTTGGATCCATCCACGGCTATTACGACATAAAACAGTTTTGTAAACTAACGTTCGCCGATGATTCGGGGAGGTGGGGTAGGTAGCTGCGTATTGGAGGCGGGAGCTGATAAGTTAGTGCGTAATTACAGCACTGTCAGTGGACCGATAAGTGGGGGGAGTGGGAAGCATTAAAGGCAATAGCTTGGATGCATCAGCGTCCTTGAGGGCGCGACTGGGCTATGTCTGGCAATGTCTCCAAACATTGATATGGCCTGTTTCGGGTTCCCCATCCAAGAAGACGGCAATGACCAGTGCAGCTAAGTTCACTGCCAAGTCATTGTTTGACCGCCTCCGGCTCTATTCCACCCTCAACGTGGTTTTGAGAAAAGAGGCGTTCGAGGAAGTCGATCGACGGGGTCTTTCAACTGAATTAAAAATTCTGCTACATTATAGTGGGTTTCCACATTTAAAATGGATGTGATTCGGTTCAAAATATTGCATGAAAAATTCTGACTTACTTTACAACACTCGCGTTTCGAAGAACTCCCTTTTCCGCCAAGATAAGTCGCGCCGCTAACTCGAATTTTGGCGTCATTTTACGTAGCACGTGATGCGTCCGCCTAGTCATGTGACATGCATCTTGGACTCGGTGGATGATGGGTTATTCACAAACATGAAAAAAGAGGGAATCTCCAACACACAGACATTCTGGTGAGCTGCATGAAGTACTACGCTTAGTTAGTTCCCTAAAGATTCGCAAAGTCAAGGATTCACCTTCACAAGGATTTCAATACCTAGTTGTGAAACAGACGTGACCTAATTAAGTAAAAACATTCAGAATGCATGAGTGAATATCAGATTTGGTATGAATCACAGCGCGTGTTCTCATTTAACCGGCTTATTTTATGATCTTAGGATTCCCAAAATTCCATTCCCTAGAAAGCAGTAAAATTTAATGACCATGTCTGACATCCACTAGCTTCGTGCAAGTCAACCGTTTTGAATCCGACAAAAACCTGTATTCGATTGCTTTCAGGAACCTGCGTCTGGATTCACGTACTTTAACTAGGTTCGTACTGTAATTGACTGCAATCGAGCAGTTTGGGAATCTTCGCCTTCCTTTAAAGGGACACACAACGGAAAATATCAGAGTGGAGTAATGGAAACCGTCATTGTTGTCTGCCAAAACTGCGCAGGACACTCTACGGGCAACCTGAAATCTTAGCTCACTCACTGCGTAAATCTGAGACCGGAGTAATATTCACCACTGAAATTTCGTTACTCTCAGCGGTCGAAGTTCCGTTTTCAGGCGAAAACAGAATGCTGATTGGTGCATCTGGTGGTTTTGGGGGAGGTGCATCGTTCAGTTTCGCATCACTTTGAACAGTCACCCCCCTGTCCTGGCGCAATTAATCATGTGGATCCACACCAAAGGGGGGAAGCACTGGACTCGAATTTCGCTCTTGTAAGAGCTCATCAGCAGTGCATTTCCAATGGCCGTGCCGGGTTTTGAACTCTGGACACTTGCCATGCGAGGCGAACGTGTTACCACTACTCCACCCGCGCATGTCGCTCGTATTTGAATTCTCACGGGCGAACGTGTTCGCACCTGAGCGATGTGATTGCTGTGCCCGACTCATCGAACGACGACCCAGTGACTGTCCTGGTTGTGACGACCGACTGATCCGGCCGTCAGGACGTCCCAGTCAGGTTGCGCCACAGACGCTTGAAACCGGCTAAACAACTTTTGTTGATGCATTTGGGGGTTTTGCGGGAGGTGTATTGTTCAGTTTCGCTCAGTTTCACATCACTCTCGTATGGGTGTGGATTCACATGAGCAATTGCGTCAGGACAGGAGAGCGATTGTTCAAATCGAAAGTGATGTGAAACTGAACAAATTGATAGTTATATTCAAAAATAGCAAAGTACGTGAAATAAGTTATTTATATAGCTGACTTTAAAAAATCACTTGGCCTCTCAGTCAGTCACTTGACACGTGTCGGTCTGACTGACATAAATCGCTCCGCTCCACACAGTTTAACTGATGTTTGCAAACTTATCTGGTGAAGCGTCACTTGGACGCGCGTACTGAGGTGAACTGCCGAAACCAGCACGCTTCTAATGCGGGAGCAAAATATATCAACAAATCTGTAGGCATAAAGCGTACGCATTAGGCTTTGTTCATCATCATGGTGTGAATACCTGTCCGCTAATGGTTTGCTTTCAATTTCTTGTCTAAAAGTTTCAAACCCAACCACAACCCATTGCTTATTTGTCTTCCAGTTTAGTCTCAAAATAGGTGCATTAAACAAGGGACGGCTAACCGTCTTTTACTCTGTCAAATGTACGCATAACCTCTGCGAATCGGTCAGACTAATTCGTCCTGATAGCTTGGGAGTTCCAAGTATTTTGACTAGAAACAATGATTCGAGCGACCTTTCGGTGCTCATATACACCGTTGTGTAGAAGCCGCCGTTACATTCGACGACGGGAAGGACTCGAAAATGTGTCCCATAGGTCACCTGAATGTTAATGTCGTTGGTCAATTTTTTGTACGAATGCACCATCTGATATTGGTCTTATAGTTGAATTAAGTCCGGCTATCTTACTGTAGAAAACTTCGACGTATTCAGGAGGGCCCACTTGAGTGACGCGCAAAATCACAAGGCCGAGTGAATTAGACCCTTAATAAGTAGCTCGTGGTCGAACGGGGAAGTAGAGGAGTGAATCAGCTGTAACGTGCTTCCTTGGCAAGTCAAAATCTTGACAGGTACTTCCTCTGTTTGCTCATTTCCCTCCGGCCGGACTATTTAGTTATGTGATGGACGTTCATGGATTATTCAGTTTGAACGTCAGACCACAAGAACGAACAGCATGTTCGAATGTCTACACGACCAGCAAAAGATTCTAAAAGGCAGCACATATCACCAATGGACAGACTTAACTGATGGGTTCAAAGCAGTTGCTGAAAACTCTTCGACAGCCGACGACGAGTTTTGCCCTTCCACTTCGGGCTCATCAGGTAGGCGCACTCCTCGAGTTTCCGTCAACCTTATGTACCAATTGAACCCAAATTAGACTGCTTTCGAGAAAACACCACTCATTTGATAATCACTTTGGCTTCCACGAGAGACTCAACTGAATCTCTCGTTTACGGTGTTCTACAACTGAATGTGCCGCATACAGGCCGCCTCATGTTTCAGTTGGCACGATGTTTGAGATATCGCAGTATATTTTCGTGAAGAAAACTGCTCAGAAGGTTTGGAACGAGTAATATATGAGGTGTCCTGCTGGATACTCGGACTTGACTGGCAGGCAGGTAAACTGCGTATTCGATTGATATTGATGAATTCACTACAGACACTACATCTCAGCTGTGGAATTTCACCGCGTCAGTGGTTCAACAAGAAGATAACCAGACTGATCAGCTGACGATGTCTGCTTATAGTTCAGTAAATTGGCGTGAAAAAACGCACCCATTTTCGCGTCGTATCGCATCAATGAGCTTGCCTATCCGGGTAACTTTAGTGACATATTCTGATGTGACAAATCTCTTTCACTAATTCCCATAGAACCGGACGGAATTTCCTACTTTTGACCAAATTACTCATTTTTCCCCCAACGATTGATTGCTATAAAGATGCGATGTGTCTCTCATTGAATTCCAAAGCCTCCAAGAGTTCACCAGTGGTCGTGTGGATTCAACGACCCAAGCGGATCGCTTCAAGTAGCTCTTAATCTTTAAACTGGTACAACCAAGTGGCCAATAAATCAAACCGTTGTTCTTTCACCACTCTCTCGATTACTTTTTGACACGTGTCGTAAGATCTCCCGGATCGGAAATTTCAGTCCCCGCCGTCAATTTTTGGGTAAAAGAAGGGAAAAATAAACACCAAAACTCCGCGTCTTCTAACGACACGCGGTTGCATTCTGAAATACTCCGTAAACGATTGGATAACCGCCGGGATTATGCGTATGAAGGGATTTGAAGATAATGCTGAATGAGAGCGAGGAACAATTGGTGACGTCTTGTTCTATTTTGATCGGTCTGTTTCATCTGTTCGTGGAACAATAAGGCTGATCTGATAAAAATGGTTCATCTTACCACCGAAAACGCAAACGTGCGTGTAGATTTGCCTTCGTCCATTCACACGATTCATCGAAATGGGAATATCCCAACATTACACTGCTGTTTTTTTAGTTGTCAGTGGAACAGAGAAAATAGGGAGTGCACTCGGAGGTAACGAAATGAAAAGAGGCCTGAATTTATCAAGAAAGTTTCCAAAACAATAAATGGGATTCAAACGAGACCAATTTCACTTTAGAACGCCCAATGTTATCATCCTGTGGATCGGGAGAGTTTGATAAGTAGACAAGTTTTGAATCGTCCGTAGATGCAGTTTTCTTTATCAAAATGCCTTGAGGAAACGTACATTTTTATCAGCAATCGTAATACATTACAGGAAAATTCAGAATGCCTGAACTTACGGATTTTGCGTCAGTGGTGGCAAAAACGATTGTTTTACCACAACTTACTGATGAACCCTCTGACTGCGTACCATCACATTGCGGGTTTACTAAATACCTCCGAATGAGGACACTAGGAAGCAAGCTGTAGGATCTATCCCGGTCTCAATGGGACTCAGAGGATGACTAAAATACTACTGGATGCCCATGTTGGATGATACATGATTTGAGGACAATGCATGGACAACTAGAACATAAGGTTGACGGAAACCCGGGGACTGCGCCAACCTGATGAGCCCGAAATGGAAGGGCGAAACCGGTCGTGGGCTGTCGATAGATTTTCAGCAACCTTATGAGTAGTGCATTACAAAAAAACTGACTTGACCTGTTTTGTCATGGGCTCCGCGTCCAATGAGAATCACGAGACCGTCATCGGAAGGAACGACTGCAACCCACGCTACTGAGCCATCATTCCGCTCGCCGTTGTTCGACACTGCACTGTGCGGGTCAGTGGCAGACCTATGAAATTGTTGATGCTACGAACGGGAACAATTGATGTTTGCTGGAGACCTTTGCTTACCCTTGTGCAGATTGTGCCGTAGCATTTTGAACTCAATTCTCCCTTTTTATACTCGGGATTGTCGAACCCACGCGTCACTCAAAGTTCCGTATCGGGGACCTCAACATCTAGTCTAACGGCGGTTTTCCTCACCATTGCAATGTTGACCACACTGTCTTGACTCATTCGAACGATGTTCTCTCGCAGAGAAGCCAGAATGTCAAGATTATAAACACTTGAACCTTTCTAGAAAATTCCGGCGAATTTTGGTTTATATCGATAATGAAGTAGTTGTGGAAGGCTTCTCGAATTTTTTAAGCTTAGTATAGCTTTACTTCAAAAATGAAATCACGAACGAATACCCGAAATCGTCGCGTCATGTGTGAAAAATATTTTTTAAGGCAACTGAAAAGCAGTCGCAACAGG